TGCCGAGGCATTCCCAGGCCAGCCAAGAGACATAGTCCCTCCAGCGTGTCCTGGGTTTTCCCTGGGGCCTCCTCCCGGTGGTTGAACAATAATCACTAATAAGTAAAAGATGTGAGAGCACAAGTCCTGCAATAATCACCTCTATTTAATAAGGATAATCACCTTTATTGGCCAAGTATGTTACACACAAGGAATTTGTTTTCAGTACAGAACCGAGGCAGCCATCTGCTACGCCAACTCACCAACTTGGGGGTTCAGTGTTTTACCCACTTCGACATGTGGACTGCAGGCACCATGATTTGAACCTCCAACCCTCCAGTTGGGAGACAACCGCTCTACCCACCTAACCAAAGTCATCTCACATTTTTTTTTAATAAAAAAAAAGTCTATATTATAACAAAACAGGACACCAATTCATAAACATGCACTATATATTAATCTGAAATCAGTAATCAAAAACATCAGGTGCTGGTTCAGTCATCTGTACCCTTCACAAAAGCAAAACAACTCTAGAGCAGTAAACAGTAAACAAAGGGGCTAATTAGATGGCATCTTTCCTGCTAGTCTGCTATTTCTCATTACATTACAGATCACTATTACACACTCATTAGACAGTAATGGAAAGTCATGGTTGCTTAAATGATGCTGACAGTTCCAGGAAACTGTGATCAAAGCTGTTTACACATCACTACAACTAAAATATCCACATTATTTCACCCAAATTTTAATGATTAGTTTCATCTCTGTGAGAAAACTTATATCATCCTTATCCTCTTATCACACAACCAAGTGAGTGAAATAACAAAATTATTCTTCTACATGATGAAGAAGCCCTGGAACTCAATAAATCATACTTTGGCAACATAGTTTCTCTCTACTGAAGCCTTATCTAGTAAATTAGGACCCGCTCATGACGCCTTCTCACCTGGCATCCTGACTCAGTAACCCTGCGACAGGGCGTTACTATGTGCTCCATCCATCTGCAAGATGCTACAGCCCAACTACAGGCCTGTGCCTCAGTCAGTCGCAGCACTAATGTCGAAACGTGCGTTTTAGTTCCAGCCCATGAAAGTGTTTACAGTCGTCAGGTGCTTCCTAATGTCTTAGCTTTAAGGCCGGTGCAGTTTGAATCAATGGTAGGCTATGTAACTGGTCAAATTGATAACGAATTTAATCTAAAGCACGTGTTTGGTACAGTGCTGAAACATCAAAAACATTACATCTGCTCTGTGCATCGACTGTATTGGGGAGTGAGGTGCACGCCAGGATGTGCAGCAAATCACCTAACAGCATCATCCCCACCATTCCACCACAAGTCATATATTGCACACAGCATCTTCCTGGAGCTGTGATTACGACACAACAATGCAAAAAACAGTTTCTTCGTACCCAAATGGTTAATGATTCTGCATTGCGGAGCGATGCATGAGCTCCAGCCCAACGGCGCAGCCTGTTGTAAACAAGACTGATTTCCCAGCTGTCAAAATGCAGCGCCCGGCTTCTCCCGAAATCATGTCAAACAACCAGTTTTCACTTTATCCTTCCAGTGTTCCCCGTGTCCTTACCTTACGTAGCGGGCAAATGCGTCCGTGCGTCCGTCCCTCACGATGCTCACACCTGCTCAGCACCGCATCGCAGGGCGCTCAAGAACGGGGAAAGACACTGACAGAGCCGCGATCCTGTCCCCCTGGACTGGATGAAGGCTTATGACAGTCAACTTGAGGGGGCGCTAGACCCGCTTGTTCCACAGGAACGGCTCCCATGAGTTCCCCTACAGCTCCATCACAGGTTCCCCATCACATGTGGATTATCAATATTTTTTAAGTTAATGTGCGTTCATACAACATTTAGAATCTCTCTGTCAACAGCTGTTATAATAGGTTTACGACCCAATTTTGCTTCAGTATGCATCCAAGTATGGCAAGTCCCCCCCTCATTCATGTTATTTATTTCTTTATTTATAGTTTGAGCCCTCTTTATGCTTTTAATGTTGGAGCAAAGAGCTACCACGACTTTATTTTTTGATTTACAATTATTCAGTTTAAGGCTAGTAGCCTATGTAACTTTGCAGTTTTGGTATTTTGCAGGGTGCTTAACTTTATGGTAAGTCTACCAGAGCTTTATTGCTGGTAACTGCTGTTAATTGGGCATTTAATGAAGCATTTTCACACAGTAAATGTGCATGAAAGTAAAAGCTAATAAATGCTAAAAAGCTCCTTAGCACCAGTACTTGAGTAAATGTACTTTACAACACTGTCTTGAATTAATGGCCTGTGTGCACATCCTAGTACACATGAATTACAATATAAGTTTCAAAGAATTATTTAGTGCTTATTCCACAAAATTGTAATGTTGCAGTTCTTTTTTAATGCCATGTTGCATGCAGAGGTTACTCTGCAGTCATTCCCTACCTGCTCACCAGTTGTCCACAGTGTCTCTTGCTCAAGCCCATCACCTGGCCAGTCTCCATCTTACACACCTGCTTCCCATTACTTATTAACTCCTCAAAAAGCATATTTGCCAGGTTGTATGTTTCCTCAGCCCTGCTTTTGTTCTGTGTGCATGACTTTTGAAGACAAGTCTGACAACCAGACACCAGAGTACCCGGTCGTCCAGGGCTCAAACCCAGAATCTTCTTGCTGTGAGGCAACAGTGGTAACCAATATCCCACTGTGCCACCACTAACGCATGTCCCTATATAAAATGTTATTATTCCCAAAAGGCTCATCTATTTAACACCATAAAACACAGTGTCATATGTGCAGCTACTATAGCAAATGAAGAAGCTACTTAAAAATAAAATTAAATGTAGTTTCTCCATAAAACATTTCACTCTGGATAATTGTCAAACCTCACTGTCAACAGTTTTTATAGCAAGCAATTTTCTTTAAATTTTGTAGTAGCAGCAAAATTATGAGAGATTTCAAAACCTGAGCAGCTCAATCAATCAGCAAGTATACAAGTATAAGTAACTGAGAAATGAATGAGGCTGCCTCCTGCATGTTCAGCCTGTTTATCATCAGGTTGATATCAGAAGGGCATTCCTACTAATTACAATGCCTTACCCATGTATCAGGCCAAACAAGAGACTCTCACAATCCCACAGGATTAGACTTAAATCTTAGATGTAAACACCAGACAGCAAGCCTGTCTGCTGTGCTCACAGGCCATAAATAATGCAGAAATCTTTGAGAAGGAGCAGGGTAGAATTAATTGAAGGACTTAATTCCCTTGGATGAATTTGGGGGAATATACAGTATCAAAGAAGTTCTTTTAAAACTGACCAGAAACCGACTTTACAAGAAGGTTCTAGTGCTATACATTAAGTCTAGTGTTTCTGCTTTGTTCCCTAAGAATGTTATTATTCATTCTTTTCATCACAAAAGTAGTGCTGTTAATAGACATCAACAACGACAAATAGCCATTAATTTCAGCCGAATTGTATTAGAAAAATGTCACTCCACAGAAAATAGTCAAGCCAAAAGGATTCAGTAGTACTTAGGAAATTCATGACGCACAAATAGAGCTGCATAATATAGGGCCCAAAAGGTAGTACACAGGTTATCCAAGGACTACAATAGGTGTGTTCAGCTTTCAGACAAACACTTTGGTTCCTCTTACAACACAGCAGTGCAAATAGAGACAGATCCTGCTGGTGCATAACACTGTTACAATGGTGGTCTCTGGGGTGGGTAAGAAGAACAGCAAACACCCTGCTGTCTGGAGGAAAGAATAGGTGCCTGTCATATATCTGCCTAGCAGAGGAGGAGGGAGATGGAGGAGGGAAAGGAGGGAGGATAAATGTGGTTTAGCCCCAGTGATCTTCATGGGGGCACACAGAAAGGTAACCCCGCACCCACCACCATTCAAGTCCAAATACACATTTGACATGCTGAGGAGGGTGTTGGGGGCATAGAGTAGACGGGGAATAGGAACTGGGGTGTGCAGAAGGTTATAATCCTGGTGGTATCATGATGAAAAGGGGGAAGGGGTTAAATAGAAACTGTCACACTGATAGAACAAAGCACTCTCACTTTATGTAGCATCCATCCAACAGGAGTGCAAAGATATCAGCTCATCACTCCCCATCAGGGAAAACAGACTCCTCGGGTGACAAAAACACAGGTGGAAAAAATGATACGCTTTGACTGGAAGGTGTGATTTCCTTCCTACACTCAGGGTTTTCAATTTCAGGCAAAGCAAATCTTTGATTCAGGCTCCAAACAGCTCGATCTTGGCAGATGTGTGTCTGTGCGTGTGTGTTTGTAAGCGAGCGTGTGTGTTGGTAAACCGTTTGTCAGCCATATGGAAATGTCACAGAGTAATCATAAACAATTATCCTCCCCAGTTCTCGGAGCCTCAGAAAAGGGCAAATTTACATAAAGACACAAAGGCTCTTCCCATATGTAAAGAATGAACACCCTGGAGCTCTGTGGGCTACACACTTTAAAAATACCAGAAAATAAATGATGGTGGTTCCTTACACTGCATTTATAATATTGCATGTTTCTGCTTAATGTCATATTGGGGAACTTGCAGATGTTGAAAGATTTTATTTTTCACTTGAGCATCTGGGTTGCAAATGATATTTGTTAAATCTCCCAGGCTGTTTGGAAACAGGAAATAATAGCGAGACCATGGAATGTTCTTTTTCCACATTGAAGGCAGACTGGAGTTAGACATCAAACCAGCTGCAGATCAATTCAAACCAGGCTTTCTGCACAGCAATAAATCAAAGAGCATGGCCCAGAAGAAGTGAGAATGGATAATGGATGCTACAGCAGACGGACAGCTGACACAGGATGAATCCACTGAGAACTGGATGAGGAATGAGGATGGGGGGAGGGATCAGAGAGGAGCGGTAGAATGGAGGGGTAGGTGGAGTTAAAAAGGGTAATGGGGCAGCTGTTTGCTTGGTGGCAATGATCATCAATGGAAGGACAAATAATGTGATTCTGTTGCCCTGAAAACAAATAGCTATGCCTCTTACAGGAAGCCATTGTACTGAAGATGTCAACAGAGAGCCAAACAAATTCACTGGCTGGCAAATCATTAGATAAAATGGATGGTAGGTCAGGATTTTGGGACGTTAATGCATTTTTTTTTAGCATGGACCAACTATAGATATTTTTATTGCTTATTTCTTAAATTTTATAACAACAAAATTAAAAATAATTTATTTTACTGACAGTTTTATTCATGTATATTGCATGCCATTTTCTATTTAAGGCTTTTAAAAGCCTGTTGCTTATTTCAGTGATCAGTTTAATTACCTGTTATCACTAGATGGCAGTAAAGTCAAGAGGGAAAATTGATTATTCATCTTCCAATAGCTGAAAGTCATCAGGTTTTTTACATGTTGCCAATGGTGAGAGTCATTTGTTTTGGCTGAAGTAACAGAAACAATATTCCAACCAGTAAAACTCTTCTGGCTTCATTTGGAGAAATTTTTTCTCCATTACCCCAAATCATCAATTTGTATGGCAGAAATACGTAATTATGTGAAATATCCCCCAAACTACTTTACTCAGAAAGAGGAATTTGTTTACCTGAGTGAACAGAAGGCAAAGAGTCCTTGCCAGAGGGAGAGAACAAATTTCCAAGTCCTTGCTTCCTAACACTATTGCTGTGCGATAATGCACCAGATGGCGGCCTGCTCTTTCACTATTACCCCGACAATATGACTGTAAAGGACGTGGAATTGCCACAAGTGAGCGCCAAAAAGATGGGGTCCAACTGTCGTGTTCCATAAGGCCTTTCTATAGCGGCTTCACACTAAGGAGACTGGGGCTGCTGTAGGCAATCATTTTCACACTTCTCCCAGGTTCTGCTGACTGTACTTGTTACGGTGTGTTAGGTATTTTTAGTCAGATAGATATTGAATAGATACTTTATGTATTAGAAATGTTAGTGGAGATAGGATGTCTAGTTAGACTGTTAAATGCTTAGTCATGCTTATGAGTTTCTACAGGGTACATCTGGTCAAGGATAACTAGAGAGAAGAGTTGAGGACTGTCAGCAGACAGGGTGTTTAATATTATTA